TTACTAAATAATTTTCCTAATTGCAAAAATAAAATATGTCTTTTTGAAGATTTAGAAAACAGGAAAGATTCAGGAAACCAAAAGGATTGAACATAGTCATAAACATATATCAATGTCATCACATATTCTAATACATTATTTCAATTACTCGGGAGTGTCATTTCATAGATGTACCAAATGTTAGACTTTATGAACATTTAATTGTTGCTAAATTTTATCTATTTTTAGCATCATTTTGAACATCCTTGCAGCTAAGTTTTTGCGTGTACATTTTATATCCTTAAAATAAATCATTGTAAGTGAAATTACTGGGTCAATGAGTCTGCACAAATTTTGTGGTTTTGATATCTACTGACAAATTACTCCCCAGAAACATTATGACAATCTGCCACTCCTCAAAGCCAGTGGTGTGTGAAAATGCCCCACTCACCAGTTGTTAAATTGAAGAGGCAAAGCAAGTAAGAGCATGGGGTTTAGAATGCTGCAGTGCTACCAGTGTGAACTCAGGCAATTTGCTTTAACCACTCGGAGTCTGTTTTCACATTCGGGTTGCTGTGAGGATCATATGAGATCATGTATGTGGAGCAAAGTGTCAGGCTATTGTAAATGCTCAGTAAACATGTTATTCTCTACTTATAAGTTGTTTCTGCCTGCCTCAGAAGTGTTATTACCTGAGAAGAGATACAGACTGGGTAAGACTTCTGAAATCTCCCTTGAATGCCAATACCAATCCATCATCTGTACCTCTCCTGTCTCCAACATTAGGTGACCAGTGACAGTGCGGATTCTGAGGTCTCACACTAATTATCACCTAGGTTTTTCTGGATTCATTACACTGAATGTTACAAAGTAGTAAAGAAGCTCAAAGTGGGCTTGTGTATGGGAAATTATTAATAATAAGAATAGCAAGAGGTATCATTTGTAGATCACCTACTGAGTGTCAGTGTGTGAAGCCCTTTACATGGATTATTCCATTCAATCATATAACACTGTCATGAGTCTCAGAGGGGCAGGAGGGAGGCTTGCTCAGTGTCATGCAGACAAGAAGTGGACTCCAATCCTACCTGACTTCAAATTTGTGTTGTTGACCAGTTTGAATGCTACTGTCCTCAAGCTAAAAAGGTTTAGTAGGGAGCTGTGCACATGAGTGTGTATGTGCATATGCATTTGTGTGCAATCATGAGTTGCACGTGTGTATGAGCACATGCATGTGTATCACTAGAACAGTATTTAGTCAGACACTAGTATGTGTCAGGCCCTGTGCAAGTTCTTAGGGATGTACAGTGGATAAGAGAGAACTCATTCCAACCATTTCCAGTACCTCCTGAAAGACTGACAGTAAATGAACAAGTCAATTAAGCAATAAGGACATTACAGATTAACATTACAGTATGAAGGACAGAAAACTGTATAGTCACAGAAAGCAGTTAACACATTCTAGACTGGAGGTCCAAGGGAGCCTTTTGGTGTGTCCTGAAAGTAGGCTGGAGTAAGGAGTCAAGGCCACCATGCAAGGATAGGGTGGAAGGTAGATCCTGTGGGGTTGAGGCAAATGCTTCAGTGCCTGAGGACATATTCCAGAAGATTCTGAAGCTCCCCAAAGTGATTATGGGAGGGTGTGTGTGGGGTTTCTGGGTGTGCTTGGGGTGCTGGTGGAGCCTAAGAAGAATGGCCTACTAGTTTTACCCGAAAGAAGTGGAATGTGAACTGGTGACTAATACTGTCAAGGCAACCTGCTCTTAGGACCAAATGCCTGAGTGATTGCAGAGGCATGGATGGGACTACGAAGTAGAGCCTAGGTGCCTGGGATTAAGGTTTTTGGAGCAGAAGTGTTTTATAGTCCCACTCAAAGAAAAATCCGTCTTCCCCAAGTATTCATGAAATAATGTCCAATGCCTTCCCTATTCTGTGCGTTCTCGGATATAGTTTAGGGTACAAAAAGGCAGCAACATCTCCAAAAGCTCTTTGTCTCTTGCCTCCTGAGGTAGTTAATGGGTTACTTGCATAAGAAGATGTCACCAGAACCACTTCTACCCAGTGGCACCACGAGACAGTCCAGGTTATGATTTCAGCTACCTTTACACACGTATGGGGTGAAAGAGTCTGGTTGTTGGAGTGGTTCGCCTAAGAAGCCACATGTGGCTCATCCAAATTCAGCCGCTTCCCCCTCTGGAGTCCACCAGCGCTCAAGCCTAGTCTGGAAAGGTGGGTTTTCCCAGACCTCATGAGGTCCACTATGGGTTAATGTGAACTCAGGGTTGCGACACTGTGTGTTCTCACAAACTCCCAAACTGTTCTCTGGTGACCCTGTGAGACCTTGAACCGTGCTCTCACCCCTGTCCCAGAATTCCGGAGGGTAAACTAGTTAGGAGAAATAGTGAAAACACCCTGGGGCCCTGCTTCCCTCATTCCAAATACATAGTAAGGACCTAGGCCGGATGTATGAGCTCTGTAACGCATGTTCAGCTGGCATCTGCCCAGTTGCCAAAGGGTGTGCTTTGTTCCCAATCTGGGAATAGGACATGCAGTACCCCCATTCAATATGAAACATGGACAGTGATTAGCCAAACCATTTAATCAGTGATTTGTCACAGAATGCCCTCAATTGCTTCACACCTGGAGCTATGAATTTTCAAACATAGGATTCATTCTCAGGAACACATCTCAATATGCTCATTTGCCCATGATTTCATTACAATTCTGCCAGCACACATAACTGATCGCCAGTGGTTTGAAGTGCTTGGCCAAATGGCCACATAGCATAGGTATGAGTTCTTTTTTTTTTTTTTTTTTTTTTTTTCCTGTATTACACAGAATGTCGTGGTGAGGGTAGAGGTGAAGGAACTACAATAACACTGTGCCGGTCCCATGCTTTCTGTGAACTTTTCACTTTTTAATTGTCTTTTTTCTTTTTTGTAACCCCTTTTTATTTTTAACTTTTCTTTACATTTTTTATTTTTGATGATATTTACATGGTTGATTAGGGCACAAAGGGTCAAGGACTAGAGGAAAGTGGGTAAGACCATTCTTTCCACATTCTCTTTTTGCCTTCCTGTCTCTGGGGGAAGGGGGGGTAAAGGGAGAAGTCACACCCAGTGTCCCAGCCATCCCAGGGTCCCTAATGTGGGGCCTGCTCTGAGGGCACTGCTCAAGTGGTTTTGCTAGTTCAATAGTTCTGAATTGCTGCCAGTCTCAGCACTCCACTCCAAGCATAATGAAATCCCTCCAGAATCCACTGGCTGACATAGTCCACCTTAGAGTCTTCATTTGCCTAGAATATTGTTTTTTTTTTTTAAAGATTTGTTTATTTGCCTTGAAAGCCAGACTATAATGGGAGAGAGGGGAGGGAGAAGACAGGAAAAAGGAGAAGTAGAGGGAGAGGAAAAAAGGAGGGAGAACATAAGGGAGAGGAAGAGATTTTGTATTGCTTCACTCTGAAAACGGCCACAGTAGCCAGTGCAGTTCCTGACCAAAGCCAGGAGCCCACCTCCTACTCTGGGTTTTCCATGTGGGTGCAAGAGCATAAACACTTAGACCATTCTCTGCTGCTTCCCTCAGGCCATTAGCAAGGGAGCTGGATTAGAAGTGGTGCAGCCAGGACTTGAACTGGCACCCATTTAGAATGCCTGCACCACAGACAGCAGCGTTGCCTACAATGCAATTTTTATTTTAGTTGACAAATAATAACTTTAAATGTTTACGTGGCCATTGTGCTACTTTCATACATGTATACAGTATGTACTTCTCCTTAAACTTCACTGTTTCTTTGTGTTAGAAACCCTCAAGCTGATGCAGCTGCTTAAAAAATGCGTAATTCAGATTTTTTTTAACCTTGGGTGAAAGCCAGTCAAACTGAACTTTCAGGAGAGCTGCAAGAGGCCTATGTCAAATGAAAAGGGGCCAGCATAATACCAGGCAGCTAATCCTGCTCTGTAGTCACACCCACACCCCTCTTTTATTACCTTGGATAGATGAGTGGCTCCAGGATTAAAGCACCACCTCTGAGAGCTCCTTCCCTCCTCCCCTTCAACTGAGTGGGTGCTTAGATTGGGGAAAACACCCATCCATACCATGAACTGTCCTAGAATGTGATATCCTACATTCAGCCACTTAGCAAAGGTGCAGGCAGAGTGAGGTCTGTGGAACCAAAGGAGACATCATTTCCACTCCTCAACTGTACAAAAAAAAAATTTGAATCATCTATTGATCGTGAACATTCTGTATTTGCAGGACAAAGTCTAAGAAACTCTTTCCTTACTCATCACTCATCTCCCCAGCTCATTCCCCACTACTCTGCATTGCTGTTATGGCTCAGTTTCTTATCTTTTCCAGGTCCCCAAGACCTTGGAAAGCTAGTTCAACTCCAGAGCTTTGTGAGTGGTCATCACAGTAAAGCACTGTACAGTTTATAAAGTTCTATGGAATTCCACTGTTCAATGTATGTAGGATACTAGCTATAAAATCACTAACAATAAAGAAGCTAAACAGCAGTAGCAACCAAACACAAATCAATCATTATCCTTCTAGGAAAGTTTCACAGAGAAGTTCATTGGACAAGGAGATAAAGATGTATTTACAACAATGCTCACTACAATATTGCTTGTATAACTGGGTGGGTGGAAATGACTGAGCTGCCTACAGACCTGCCTCTGTTAGCCATATTCCTGTTGTATGATGCAGTACTGCTCAGCCATTCAACATGTTGCTGTTTCATGCCATTCATTGTGATAGGAGGATAATTATTGCTATTTTAAGTGAATCAAAAGCAGCTTTAAGGACAGTATGCGTTTTGGAAACAATGTGTACATAACTAGGAACGTGTTCTAGCAAGAAGTACAATTAAAGTAGAATATCTGCTAGTTTTGGATATTATGATTGATGTTTTTAGTCTTTTCTATATTTTCTTCAGGAATGTATTAGCAAGAAAAACATTCATCTACTTCCATTTTAAAAACAGCAAATGGACACCTAACATGTCTTTCAAAATCTTTTCTTCTCAGGTGGTGACATGCCTCCATACAAGTGGCGTTTCCCTTCATGGACAAATTCACAGCCAGAAGGGTTTCTTGCAAATGGCGTCGGCAACTGCAGCTCGGCTGTGTCTGTTCCCGTGGCTGTGAATCAGCATCCACTGACCCTGACTGGGACCGCTTCTGCTCAACCCAGGGAGCTGTGGCATTTTGCCCCCACCGCCAGCTCCAGCCATGCAGAGGCTGGATACTCTAATGCGGTCTCCACTGGGCGCTTGGTTCCAGAGCGCCAGTCTGATGGGAAATGTGAGCCCCTTCTAAATATCCTTCAGTAAAACAGATTTCTACTCCTTCCTCAGCAGTATGCCCCGAGGGAAGCATACAGACCTGTCCAAGTGACTGGAAGTGCAGGGCGACTCTTTCCCCGTAGGCATCTCCTCGGTGGACTATGAGGAGATACCCACCGGCATCTGCAGGATTGCCTTTGATTGGTGGTAGTGGGGAGTGAATTTGCACGAGATGGTGTGCCCAAGATTAATCGCTGTCTCTCTGGACGTGAGACTGCTGAGGAACACAATGTTCTGCTTAAATGTTCCATATATCTTCACTAAGCTTCAATGATGTGCACAGTTTAATGGCTGAAGTTTACGTATGTAGCCAACCAGCCAGAACTGACCTCAAATATTCACCCAAGTCTTTTGACTTGGCCTCACCTTGTAAAAATTATGGGCTATTCTTGAGAATTGTAGAGTCTTGCGTTTGCCACACTTGGAGTCACTAACTCCATTAACAAAACAGAGCTCTTTGACGTAACTACTGGCTCCAACACTGTTCTCAAAACAAGTTGGCAACCTGCAGTGATGCCAGATTCATAAGTAAAAACAAGAGCAATCTACACCAACCATCTGCTCACACGTTAAAATTCAAAGCAGTAGGAGAAGCAGTCCCACAACTACTTGGAGATTTGATGGGGCCTGGCTGTCTTTGGCTTGCTCCTGTGCACTGGGCTCCTCCTGTTTGGTTTCTCTTGGATTCCTCCTCTCTGAACACATCCCTACTGCATGAACTCAACTGCTCAAGAGGCTCACTCACTTTTCATTCACCCACTCACCCAACAAAAATTGAATTTAGCCTACCTGATATAAAATACGTGTCAGGAAACAAGACTCCTTCTTTGTAAGTGAGTGGGTGAATAATTGGCCTATACTATACTCTTGTGAAAAAGGCTATCCACACTGCTGCAAACTTGGCCTTTCTCATGAAATGTTTGTTAGAATAGATACCTTTGTGGTCTCATGGGAGCCAAATTTGCGTCTGTGATTTTACTGTGCTATGCTTTAAAAACATAACTGGAAGTTGTTTTCACTCTGAGCAAAGCATAGAGTACACAAAGGGTCCATTCATTGCACCCTACCTTACCTAAGTGAGGTACTCTGTTCCATCTTAGCATTGAAAACAAATTCTCCATTGAAATACCACTCCATCATTTCCATAGTTTGATTAGGAATCTACACAGAGAGTCAATCATAAAAACGTCAGGCTTGGCAAACCTGTGAAAATTCCCACCCCATACCCATTTTCACAAGGCTCTTCCTATTGAATTTGGAGAGAAAATTAGGTCAACTGTTTTTGTATGAATGCCCATGCATACATTTAGCAAAGTTCCGTTTCAACAGTTGGTTAAAACACAGATGGCTCAAATGAGCACCTTCCAAACATAACAACTCTGTACAGTTTGAGTCCAAGGTGGCAAATATTTAGTGAGCACCTACTATATGCCAGACACATCATAGCAAAGCCATAATGCAGGTATTGTATTATTCTGGACGCCTGTGGACACATTCATACTTTTTTTTTCCCATCAAAGTCTCAACTCCCTGGAACACTGAACACCTTCTACTAATACAGAGATGAGTTGTGCTCTTTGATAACTGAAACTTCAGGATCAATTGAAGAAGTCAATTGTCCTTACTCATGAAGATGTAAATAAAATCTAAATGATCTTAAAAGCCTAGAAGCTTCTATATATTTACAACATCTGATGAGAGAAAATAAGCCAGATGTTCACAAAGTGATAGGCAGGCCATTTGGGGACCCTGGAGTGCTGGGGGGCGGGGGTCACTACATAGGCAAGCCCCAGAGACATAATCTCCAATCATGTTTTCTTATATTTTCTAGGTAAGAAAACGAATGTGCACCGCAATCGTGGATCTGCCAATACCAGCCGGGCAAATGAAAGTATGTATCTGGTTCAAGTTTTGACAGTGTACTCTGAATCCTGAGAACAAATGTGGGGGCACTTGTAGTGTGAAAAGCAGCACCAATAGAAGACTTATTTCTGTAAACTAATATTTTTCATAAACATAATTGGTTGCATGTTAGTCTCTAATAGTGCAAAATTTCAGGTTGTGTAAGATTTCCTGAATGTTTCTATTTTGCTATAAATGGCTTCACTGAGTTATTTGATCTGAGCCAAACTTCACCATGGTAACCAAGGTGACTCAGAGAGATGAACAAATCTGTGAGGATTAGCTTGTTCTGTCACAGGTGTTCGATTCAAAGTATGCATACAGGGCCACCTCAGGACTCTGTAGTCAGGGAACGTGTCACCTAAGGCAAAGCCACATCCCTGGGCTCCACATCCAGTTTAAAAGTTAGAGTCATACATTCTTGAAAATGATTGATCTGAGTGGAATGGTTTGAATTCTTCATGATCTAGATTTGTGGTTTGAAAAAAAAGCTTTGAAATTATTGGCTTCAGGTATTTAGCCATGTTTCTTAACCTTTGCATGCCTCAGTCACCTCATTTGTACAATGAGCCAAAAAAAAAAAAAAAAAAAAAAAAGAAAAGAAAAAAAAATAGTGCCCACAGCATAGGGTTTCTGTGAGGACTAATTGAAATAATAAACAGGAAATCACCAAAAGTAGAACTCTTTGTTTGAAAGGTAGTTACAAATTGGGGCAGTAGTGGGGAGAGAGAGGAAGAGAGCAAGGAAGACAGACACACACACACAGAGACAGAGAGAGAGAGAGAGAGAGAGAGAGAGAGAGAATGATCTTGTAATTCATTTCCCAAGTTTGCTATGGCTGGGCTAGATAGAAGTCAGAACTAGGAACTTCATTTGGGTCGGCCACATGTGTCACAGACTCAAGTGTTTGGAGACCATCTTCCACTGCTTTCCCAGGTTCATTAACAGGGAGCTAGATAGGAAATGGAGAAGCCTGGAAGTGTTGTGATTCTATAACACCAACAAAAATTGTAAGTATTTTCAAAGGATAAGACCAGACACAATCTATTCCTTTGCCTCCCCTTACTATCATAAAATCATTGAAAACAATTCTAAATTAAAACAGCATGTTACAATGACTTGAATCAGTGATGGATGAGATTATTTCCAGTGTACATGGGTATCTATTGTATCCTAGAACAAAGGAAGAGTGCAGAAGACTCATAAAGAAAGGAAAGAACAGAGCAGTACTGCTTTGGGAAAGCAGTAGGGAAATAGTTTTGTCCATGGAGAGAAACTGAGGAATGGTAGGACATAGACGCACGGCTATGCCGAGTCTGGAGTCTGCCATTCTACCACTGGAGGCAGAGGCAGGAAACAGAGAACAAGGGATTGCTAGAGTTTCAAGTAAAGGACAGCATCTGACAAATTCCATGCTCTTAAGCATGACAGTGGTCTCTCAATCTGTCTTGATGGTAGTCATCATTTAGTTACCTGTATTACTTACTCCCATTTTGTGGTTGGTAGATTTAGCCTAAGACATAGCCACTTCTTCACATATTTTTATTATTTATTTATTTAATATGAATTTCATTTTTAATAAATCACATAATCCTTTGAATAGGAGTATTGATGATTTAAAAATATTTCTTGTATGAGACTCAGATAAATATTCGTCAAAGGAAAGAAGACAGTCTCCTCTCACCTCCTCAATATGGACCTGATGCTTTCATGCATCTCTGACATGAAGGCTAGGTGATATAGAGCCTTACGGATCAAGTTGGGATACTAGATTTCATATTCTAACTGATTTGGTGATCCTACTTGATAGAATTAGAAAAACTATTATGGGCACAATAAATCAGAGCATGACAAGAATCAAAATGAATAGACTAGCCAGGAGTCATGAGAGGATGACAGCTCGGTTAAATGGCAGTAGCAAAGATAGAAGGCGATGCACTTGATGAACTGTATGGGAGTGATGAGGGACACAGAAGAAGCTCGTGACACTTAGGTTTCCTGCTTGAGGAACTAGGTGGATAGTATCACACATCAAAATGGTAAAGACTATCGGACAATACCATTCTATTGGGCAAGGTGAATCTGAGGTACCCATAAAACAGTCAAGTAGGTATATATTTTCAACAGTTTCATAAATATAGGAGTGGAATTCAGAGGAGAAATCTGAGAGAACTTTTAGAATCCATTAGTATGGTGCATAAATGACAGAGAGGACCATTGAATGTGAGCATATAGGCAGAAGATGTAAATACAGAAGAGAGCAGAGAGAATTCAGAAAAATTACTGTATTCAAAGCCGGGGAGCATGAGGAAGCAACAAAGTGCATTGATTGAGAAGGAGTGGCCAGTGTTAAGGGAGAACCAGGACAATTCTGTACAACAGAATCTCCAAAGAATGCCTCAAGCCATATGAATTATCAGATATGTCAAAAGCTGTGCAGAAGTCCAATAAGAGAAGGATAGAAAGTTTCCATTGGATATGGCATCAGAGACATTGGGAAGCTTGTTAAGAGCTATTTCCACTATTTAATATGGAAGTCAGGTTGGAGAGGGTTGAACAGTGACTGGGAGATGACAGTGAATGATGGCAACTTCCTAGAAAAGAAAATGAAATGAAGAGAATGAAGTGGTAACTGAAGTGGGGATTTTAACAAAACAAATATTAGAGTCTGTTTGGGCCAATCATTTGAGTATATTATTTCACTTAATCCTCATTCTCCATCCTCAAAGTTCTTGATGTTACTCATAAACCAAGGAACAACTTGACCACAGAATAATTTGACTACCACAAAAAGAGACACTGCTTTTAAAAAAGAAGTAATAATGATCATTTATTGAGCATATATGTGCTAGCTGCTGTTCTAGAGCATTAAAAAAAAAACATGTTATCAAAACATTATGTATGCAATTAAAAAGATTTCACCAAGGCAAATTTTTCTTTGATACCATCTTCCCATGAACTTTTAACAATATACCCTCATATGTGTTCCACTCATATAATCATCACCATAACACTAGGAGGTAGCTGTCATTGAAATCTCCATGTAACAGGAGTAAAGTGAAGCTCAGAAAGGCTTAGGTAACTTG